TACAAAAAATACAAAAATTAGCCAGGCATAATGGTATGTGCCTTTTGTCCCAGCTACTATACGGGCTGAGGCTGGAGGATAGCTTAAGCCCTGGAGGTCAAGGCTGCAGTGAGCTGGGATTATACCATTGTACTCCAGCCTGGGTGACAGAGCAAGACCCTACATCAAAAAAAGAACAAGTTTCCATACCACACTGAATAATAAATTTCAATGCATTTCACTTCTCATTCCTAGGGATTATCATCTCATAATAAAATTAGAGTAAGTCTGAGGCAGAGAGAAAAGCAAACTCAGATCAAAGTAATCAATTCTCCATAGATATCTTTGTTCACTGTATAGTAGTTTTCATTTACATAAGTTGTAGACTTAAGTGGTTATTTTATCACAGTTGCCTGGTTTTTAGAAGCAGTTATTAAGTGCACAGCTGTTTCATATATTACTCATATAAACATATAAAACATATGCAGATATACATAAACATACAAATACATAGATATTCTCTCAAAGTATTTCAAAACAATCCTCTGTGGAAAAAATTTTTAAATCATATAATATAAAGTCTAAACTCATGTCAGGAACTACAAAAGATCAGGTGAATTCGGAATTAAAAAATTACAGGAAGTTGGCTCAATTTCTCCACCATTAAAGTCCAGTATCTTTTGAAAAGAATGAGATGAGTCAGGGAAAAAAGTACTTCCTTTTTTTAAGATAAGAAAGACTAACAAGATATTTATGATTTTTTTTCCCTCTGCTATACTAATGAGGAATAATTTTCAAAATAAACTTAAAGCAACTGACCACAAGAGTAAAAACTGAACAAGAAAGCAATAGGCCGGGCGCGGTGGCTCACGCCTATAATCCCAGCACTTCGGGAGGCCGAGGCAGGTGGATCACGAGGTCAAGAGATCAAGACCATCCTGGTCAACAAGGTGAAACACTGTCTCTACTAAAAAGACAAAAATTAGCTGGGCATGGTGGCACGTGCCTGTAGTTCCAGCTACTCGGGAGGCTGAGGCAGGAGAATTGCTTGAACCCAGGAGGCGGAGATTGCAGTGAGCCGAGACCGTGCCATTGCACTCCAGCCTGAGTAACAAGAGCAAATCTCCATCTCAAAAAAAAAAAAAAAAAAAGACAGCAATAAAATTATAGTATATCTTAGTATAAAGCTCAACCTGAGGCTCTAGAAAACCACACTGCCCTGGATACCTTTTACTGGTAGAGTCAGAATCTGTTTACATACCTTCTCGGTCAAAAAAGCCTTGGAGAGCCTTTTTGGGATCCTTTATATAAAAGGCCTCCCTTTCCTGCTGAAACTCTAAGACAATAGGATTCTCTTCAGCATCATCCTCTACTGCATCTTCTCCTACAGGATACGGGAAAGGAAGAAAAGATAATCAGACATGAGAAGAGACCATCTGAATGATACCCTCTATTCTTTCAGGCTGCATAAAGATATAGTTAGGCCAGGCGTGGTGGCTCAGAACTTTGGAAGGCCAAGGTAGGTGAATCACGAGGTATGGAGTTCGAGACCAACCTGGCCAACATGGTGAAACCCCATCTCTACTAAAAATGCAAAAAATTAGCTGGGTATAGTGGTGGGTGCCTGTAATCCCATATACTGAGGAGGCTGAGGCAGGAGAATCGCTTGAACCCAGGAGGTGGAGGTTGCAGTGAGCCAAGATTGCACCTGTGCACTCCAGACTAGGTGACAGAGTAAGACTCTGTCTCAAAAAAAAAAAAAAGATATAGTAGATCTGTGATTAAAAAAAGAACAAATACATACTTGCAGGGACAGGGGGTGGAACAACCACAAAACCACAAGTATAAACATATTCAGGTTTTCTAAATTGTGCGACAAGTCAAAACTTTTCATGGCACCTTAATTTTTTTTCTCCATCACAATATTTTAAAAGTAAAATTACCTACCACATTGTGGAAAAAAATTTGAGCTCCTCAGCCTGGCATTCTTGTTCTCTCACACTCATATCTAAATTTCATTTCCAATACAACTTCGTAATACTTCTTATATCTGCCAAATAAACTTCCTTAAAAATCATCAGTCCCTACCCTGAATACCAATCCCAATACTAAGCTTCATAAGGGCTTTTCCTTTCCTTCAAGTACCAGCTCAAACTCTTATGCGTATAAAGTTTCCCAGTGATCTAAGTTAGTGCTGTTCAATGGGAATATCATGAAAGCCATATTCGTAATCTTAAATTTTCTGCGTAATCTTAAATTTTCTATTAGCCACATTAAAAAATTAAAACAGGTAAAATTATTGTCATTTCAACATGTAATCAGTATAAAAATACATGAAAGAGATATTTTACATTCTTGTTTTCAGACTAAGTCTTTGAAATTCAGTGTGTATTTTGCATTTATAGCACACGTCAGTTGGAACTAGCCACATTGCACATGCTTAGTAACCACATGTGGCTAGTGGCTACCATATCAGACAACACAGGTCTAAGTCCTCAATCACTGTTCTCTCTTCTCCAAACTTTCACTCTAGCATACTTATGGTTTCCTGCTTTTGCTTGGCACTTAGCAAAAGTAACTTCATAATTTTTCCTGTCTTCCCAACTACATATTAAGGCCATATTCTATCTTTCTATACTCCCATCTCCTGAGTATCCATTTTCTAAAATATCTGGTGTTCAAGAAAGTTTATTATTTTGGCTAAGGGACCAGCTTTCTCTGATTAAGATTCCACATTTCAAGATATTTTCACAAAGTACAGAAAATTCAAGAGAATATCCTATATTGAATAACATCCCATTTATTTGGTTGAATAGAGTTCCACCCCCTCCAATGATAATCACATAGCACAAGGTCAGTACTTAATAAATATAAAAGTTAAGAACTGTAAAAATAGCAACTTTATTCTTAGGACACGTTTTGAACAAGAGAGTGCATTAAAAACATCTTTTTTTAAATCCAAAGTGCCTATAATTTAATTTTTTACATCAGTAAATTTAATGAATCTCTCTGGCTTTTGGTTACCTCACATGCAAATTGTGTTTGCCCTATCTATCACAAGGAGCAATGAAAAGCTGTATGATTTTTAAAAACATTTAAGGGTACCACTAGTAATTAACTCAAAATATTAACCTCTGGCAGTAATTTTAATTTCTTACCCATTCCCCAGGTGCAACCCATCTCATCATCTTGGCTACCAGCATTTCTCTTTCTTTCAGAGGTATCCATTTCCTCTTCTTCATCTGAGTCTTCTCCTAGCATCTTCTTCTCCAACAATATTCGTTGCTGCTTGCGCAATTCCTTCAACTGTGTTACTGTTAACTCAGATTCTGCCTCTCGGTCTTCCTCTGGTCCCTAATGAACCAAGGGAAAAAAGGTTATTTATTTATTTATTTAGAGAAAGGGTCTTTCTCTGCCCCCTAGGCTGGACTGGAGTGCAGTGGCTAAAATACAGCTCACTGCAGCCTTGACCTCCTGGGCTCAGGTGATTCTCCCATCTCAGGCTCCCGAGTAGCTGAGGCCTGGCTATTTTTTTTTTTTTTTTTTTTTTTTTGAGACGGGGTTGGGGGCGTGGTCTTGCCATGTTGCCCAGCTTCCTCTCGAACTACTGGGCTCAAGCGATCTTCCCGCCTGGGCCTCCCAAAGTATTGGGATTACAGGCGTGAGCCACCGAGCCTGGCCAAAAAATAAAAACAAAAACGAATTATTTTAGAGTTCGGGATTGTGGACATGCCTTTCAGAAATACGGCAATGTGTATAGAGGTTTGGAGATGATAGGCCAGACTTGATTCCTTCATATTTATATTCGCTGACTGGGAGATTCTTCTTCCTCATCGAAAGCTTAAGAAGCTCAGGAACGCAGCCCAATAAGCCCGAGATTTCAATTCTAGGGTTTTCTACCTACCTGGAGGATAAAGAGCCGGGTGCTGCCTCCAAAGCGAACAACATGCCCAACGTGGACTCGACAGTAGGTGCGAGGTGGGATGCGAGTTTTGTTAAGAAAAGTGCCATGGGTGCTTCCCAGATCATAGAGGTAGAAGCCCGGCCCGTTGCTGTCGCATTCTCCGTCAGGCCCAGACGCCCTGTGCTGAAGCACTGCGTGGTACCGAGACACCGAAGGGTGCTCCAAGCACACGTCGCAATCAGGCAACCTCCCGAAAAGGCAATAACTCGTCCCTTTCAAGCTACGGGTGCCAAGGATAGTGCCGCCCTTCAGGGTCTCTAAGCTGTAGGGGGCTGTGGCAGGGCCACCCCAGGAAGGCTCCTGGTAGCGGGGAGCCAGGGCCTGAGAGCCAGGGGAAGAAACCGCTGTCTGGGGGCGCGACTGCTCCTCCTGTGGACTCCTAATATCCCCGCAGTCCGGCTGAGGAGGCGGGACGTCGGGCTCCCCAGAATTGGAGTCCTGCAACGCGGTGGGCGCTTCCTTCTTCACCTCCTCAGGGTTTGAAGGACTGGTGGCCGGGGCCTTACTCCGCGCCGCTGGGGGCACCAGCAGTGCGGGCTTCTTGAAGTCGACACAGAGCTCTTGCGATGTCTGCGGCTCGAACTGAGAGAGAATGTCAGCCATCCTCAGCCAGTGCAACCTCGAAATCTGTTCCTTCGAAACCTCACCCTTCGGTCTTTACGTTCCTGTCCACGTTCCACTCTCTCAAGCTCCCAGGGGCGTCGTAGGCGGCGATGGTAAAGTTGCTCCTTCACGATCTAGAGCGTTGCAAAGTGGTGCTAACACGCGAAGGTCATAATACGAGAAAAAACGGCTGTCGGGATGCTGTGCAGAACAGGGACATCTTTAGAGGATACAACGAGATAGTAATGACTTCCTGTGGCATAGCTTGATCTAAAAGAAGCACTTCCGGCGGTCTTAGACCACTAATAAACAAACCAGCTTTCGCGGCCTGACGCGACCCTTGCCTCAGGCCTCTAGGGGTCCAGACAGTCGCCCAGCTCGTCCTGCGACGCTGCAGTGAATAGTGACACCTCCTCGCCTCGGTTCAGGTCCAGACAGACCTCCCCGTCTTCCGGCTGCCCTGGACCTCAGGCGACCTCAGGACCCTGTGATTGGCGCCTGCGCCGGCGGACCGTGACGGAAGAAACCCCTGGAGGGCCTTGAGCATTCCTTGGGCTCCCTGCCTGTTCTTCGTGCTCCTTTCGGTAAAGTTAGGTAAGAGGGCGACTTTTTTGTTATTTCGTTCATTCGTTTATTTTTTTCTGAAACTAATTATTAAGGCAGAATAGTTTAGTGGTTAAGAGTGCATACTTTGGAGACTGTCGATTTTCGACCTCTCCATTTGTGACATTGTGCAAGACACTAGGCCTCAGCCTCCACTCTGAAAAATGGGGATAATAAGACTATCAGCTTCATAGGGTTGTCCGAAGAATTGAATTAAACAATAACGGCCAGCTGAACTGGTGGCTCACGCCGGTAATCCCAACATTTTGGGAGGCTGAGGCAGGAGGATTGCTTGAGCCCGGGAGTTCCAGAGGAGGCTGGGCAACATGGCGAGACATGGTCTCGCCATAAAAAAAAAAAAGCCAGGTTTGGTGGCGCGCGCCTGTAGTCTCAGCTACTCGATTGGCTGAAGTGGATGGATTGCTTGACTCGGGGAGATTGAGGCTACAGCGAACCATAATTGCACCACTGCATTTCAGCCTGGGTGCAGAGTGAGACCCTGTCTCAAAAAAAAACAAACAAAAAAGGTGAAGTCTGGTATATGGTAAACATTCAACAAATGCCTAATATTTCTGCGTGCCTGACCCTGTAACAAGACCATGGCCGTTAGAAATACACGGGAAGGCCGAGGCGGGTGGATCACGAGGTCAAGAGATCGAGACCATCAACATGGTGAAACCCCGTCTCTACTAAAAATACAAAAAATTAGCTGGGCATGGTGGCACGTGCCTGTAATCCCAGCTACTCAGGAGGCTGAGGCAGGAGAATTTCCTGAACCCAGGAGGCGGAGGTTGCGGTGAGCCGAGATCGCGCCATTGCACTCCAGCCTGGGTAACAAGAGCGAAACCCTGTCTCAAAAAAAAAAAAAAAAAAAAAAGAAAGAAAAGAAAAAATAAATACACGGGAGAAAAAAAATCGATTGCTATAAGTACTAATTAAAATCCAAGGCTAAATGCTGTGACATAGACATGCAAAGCGCCATGAGAACAGAGAAAGGGAGATTCACTGGGAAAGTAATGGAGGGTGGGGACTTAGGCTGTAAAAATGAATATGAGTCTGCCAGGGATGGGCAGGGTTGTCAGAGCATTTCTGGCAGAGTTCACAGCTGAAAGTGTCAACTGTGGAAATGCATAGCATTCTCAAGAAAGGGAGTAGTATAATTTTGTTAAAACAAAGGTAGTCATTTCATCCAGAAATCTCCTCCTCTGTGCTTCCACTACCCCAGGTCCATATACCTCTAGAACGGTACTTACCACATATTTTCTTATTGAAATATTCTGCTTCTGTTTCTCTTCCTCACCTCAGAGCAGAGATCTCACATTATCAGTCTTTGACCCACACGGAATGCCTGGCATTTGATAAATGTTTGTTGAACTTGAAGAAATATATGCGCAATGAATCTGCAAAGGTGAGTTGAAACCAGATTGTGAATTTTGTTGAATGGTAAGCCAAGGAATTTTGACTTTTTCCAGTAGGCAATGGGAAGCCATTAGATTTAAGTTTTAAAGAGTGTAGCAGCAGGGTAGAGAATAGATTACATACAAAGAGAGATTGGAGGAAGGGATATCAATTAGAAGGCCACAGAAATTGCTCACATTCTAAATGTCAAAAGTTGAAAACATAATGCCATTTAGATTAGTGCTTCATAAATTTTTCCACCAGGACCATGCCTAAGACACACAAAAATAAGAATCACTTCTTATTATCTTTAACCCTACTCACTTTTCTCCTATTGATCCAGCACAGGTATGTCAAGATACTTTATCAGGCCTTGCTTATTGTTCAGGATTGATCATGTTGGTACTTCTGTTAATGAGTTAGTGAGGTGAGATGGAAAATAGGGTTACTAGAGTCCCAGATACTGTTGTAGCTATTGGTCCACTAATGACCCAAATTCTACCCTGTCGTTCAGTCTAGCAGGAATTGTCATAGCATGACAATAATCAGCATCTAACAGTTACATTTCTTTTAATTTGTTTAGGGAGAACCTCTTTGGTCCTACAGTTTTGCTGACACTGATATTTTTCTAAGTGGTCACAAATAGCCTACTTTTTACTACATAACTGGCTAGACCTCATATTTTTCACTACAGAAACCTATAATCTAAAGTTGCCAGAGATTTAAACACATTACTTTTAGGTTATTGTCTACATTTATCCTGAGATCTCTTCTCTTCTTATTCCGAAATGTTGAGATACTGGGGAGAGATACCAATATCATCAAGCCAGAGCAACAGAAGTTCCTTCGATTTGCTCCCACGGGAGTTCCGTCTGGTGGAAGTCCATGACCCACCCCTGCACCAACCCTCAGCCAACAAGCCGAAGCCCCCCACTATGCTGGACATCCCCTCAGAGCCATGTAGTCTCACCATCCATACAATTCAGTTGATCCAGCACAATCGACGTCTTCGCAACCTTATTGCCACAGCTCAGGCCCAGAATCAACAGCAGACAGAAGGTATAAAGACTGAAGAGAGTGAGCCTCTTCCCTCATGCCCTGGGTCACCTCCTCTCCCTGATGACCTCCTGCCTTTAGATTGTAAGAATTCCAATGCACCATTCCATATCCGGCACAGTGACCCGGAGAGTGACTTTTATCGGTAAGGCAAGGCTTTGCTGTATCTTTTCTCAAGTCATCTTCCCAACAACCCTGTTAAACCTGTAATAGCATTTCCATTTCCATGCAAGGAAACTGAGGATAAGAGTAATAGACTTGGCCAAGGTTTCTCAGGTAGTTAGTGGGAATGTTAAAGTTTTGAATGCCAGTCTTCAGAATCCAGGGTCTGTATTTTTTAATTCTTTCAGTGCCTACTATGTGCTAAGCACTTTACTAGGAGTAGGGTAATACACTGGTATGTAAAAAAGGCCATGGCCTCATAGTCCTTAGGATCTAGTCTTTCTAGTTAATGTAAAAATTATATTATGTGTTTAGCTCAATGTCTTCAAATTGGGATTCATGGACTTATTCCAGTATTTTTAGGAATCCACTTGTCTATACAAGAATCTTTAAATTGTGTGTTTTCATTTTGATAACATAGATTAAGAAATAATAAGTTGGGTCCAGTGGCTCACGCCTATAATCTCAGCACTTTGGGAGGCCCCGTTGGGTGGATCACTTGAGGCCAGGAGTTCAAAATCAGCCTGGACAACATGACGAAACCCTGTCTCTACTAAAAATAGAAAAATTTGGTGTGGTGGCGTATACCTGTAGTCCTAGCTACTCAGGGCTGAGGCACAAAAATCACTTGACCTGGGAGGCAGAGGTTGCAAATCCCACCACTGTACTCCACCCTGGGTCACAGAGTGAAACTGTTTTAAAGCAAAACAAAACAAAAAAGAATAAAATAAAAAGGTTCTAGATCCCTGCTATTCAATATCTGGTCCAAGATCTGCAGCATCAGCATCACCTGGGGACTTGTTAAAAATGCAGCATCTCAGGCCTCACCCAGTCCTGCTGAATCCTAATCTGCATTTTAACAAGATCTTCAGGAGATTTGTATGTGCATTTCAGTTTGAGAAGCTCTGCTCCACATCCTCTGAATGACTGCCTTATAACCTAGAGCTACTACTAGATCTCAGTGTGCCAGTTTGTATTTAATGCCAAACAATTACTTTTTTCTTTTCATTTTGAAATGTGCCGAACCTACAGAAATATGTAAATGATAGTCAACAAACATCCAAATACCCTTCACCATGATTCACCAATGTTTAGTATTTTGCCACATTTACTTTCTCACATGTGTAAGTGTGTATACTTATATACGCACACATTTCTTTTCCCAAAACATTTTAAAGTAAGTTGCAGACATCACCATATTTCACCCCTAAATTCCTGAGCATGCATATCCTAAGAATAAGGAAATTTTCCTGCATAATCATAATACTATTAACACACCAAAGTAAATGAACATTAATATCAATAAGTTCATATTCACATTCTTCCAGTTGTCCCCAAAATATCTTTTGTAAATATATTTTCCCACTAACCAGGATCTAACAAAGATTCATGCATTGTATCTGGTTGTTATGCCTCTTTAGAGTATTTTATGAGTTCAGGTCACTTGTAGAATGTCCCAATTACTGAGTTATTTCCTGAAGATTAGATTCAGATTAAATATGTTTGGCAAGAATACAACAAAAGTGATATTGGTATGTTATTTATTACATATACCTGTTGCTGATAATATTATTTTAGAGGCTCCCAAACTAATGAGAAAATTACAGAACTAGACTAAATAACGTAAAGGTTGCATTGCAGTTGGGCCAGGTGAAGGCCAGATGATATCAAAGTGCATTGTAATCAATGGTTCTGAAGTCATTGGAATAATGAAAAGGGGAGGCATAATTATATGCACACCCAACTCAAAAAACTTGCTCTGTGGCAATCAATACTGTATTCACATATTGAAGGCAATTTAATTTCAGCAATTTAATATTATCATATTAAATTGATGGTGTTATTCATTTTTAGTTTTGTGTCAAATTTATATTGTTAGTAAGAGCTAGGACCATCAAAAGTTTGTACCTGGTTTCACTTTATACATATTTAAGAAACTGTATAACAAAAATAATTTGCATCAGCTATGGGGGCACCAAAAAATTATTTTCCTTTGAAAGAGGTCCAAATATTATTCTTGGAAAGTGATATTGGATTAGTTCTCTTTATTAGGTATTTCTGAGGCCTTTAGCCTTTGGCCCGGAGACACTGGCCATGGAAATGATGATGATAGTAAATGAAAAGTTACTTGGCAATTAGTTGTCTTATTCTCAAATTATTATGTAAACTGCAGTAGTTGCTATTGAACAGGTCAGAGTTTAGTGGGTAGATAACTCCTCGGGCACTCTTGTACAGTACATGATGACACATGGCAAGTACGAACCAAGGAAAAATGACTTTCTGTGCTCTATTTTATTTTTATTGGTAAAATAAATGCCTTTGTCAGGGGTAGGCAGAAGCCAGTAGATAATTTCAAGAGACAGATAAATTATTAAAAGCTTCCTAAGTTATTTTTAGATCAAATAGCCCAGGTTTTTCTTAGAAATATTAAGATTTCTGCAAAAGTGATTGGGGAAAAATGGTGTATTATGAAGAATACGGTTTCTGGAGTCAGAAGCTTTACCATTTATTAATGACATGTAAACAAATTTTGGCAAATCAGCCCTTCTGAACCTCAGTTTCTTCTCCTGACAAATAGAAATAATAATAATACGGACCCTACCCATTGCACAACACAGGATAGGATGAAAATGCTTTGTAAGCTATATATGTTTTAAATTACTTTTATGAAAGTGAGTTGCCTTCCCTCTTTTGAAATGATTCCTTGTAATTTTATAAGAATCTAAGAATCTTAAACTCCTGGCAAGCTGTGAAGAATCTCTTCACTAGAACTGTGAATTTCTAAAAGTTTATATTAATATATTGCCCAGCATGTATGAAAACTAGGTTGTGGTAAAATAATTAGAGCATCATTGAGCAGTGTCTGGGCTATACTCTTAAACTTAATCCTAAAACTGATCAAAATTGAACAGTTACTAGAAGGAAACTTTCTTTTCACTAGCTATCCTTTTGGACTGTGTATTGCCTATTCAAACTATGTCTTTGTAGGAGCTCAAAGATATGACCGTGGGTTGCTAAGACATGCTCTGATAGCAGTGGCATAAAACTGAGCTATGTAACTTGGATGGAATTTCCCTAGAAAGCTAGGCCAGTGGTTTGACTGGAATTGTAAAACTCCTAGGGAGACAGGAGAGGTCATAACCCCTTTGCAAGAACATTAATAACACTACCACATCTCCACTTTCAGTGGGAAAGGGGAACCTGTGACTGAACTCAGCTGGCACTCCTGTCGGCAGCTCCTCTACCAGGCAGTGGCCACAATCCTGGCCCACACAGGCTTTGAATCTGCTAATGAAAGTGTCCTGGAGACCCTAACTGATGTGGCACACGAGTATTGCCTTAAGTTTACCAAGTTGCTGCGTTTTGCTGTGGACCGGGAGGCTCAGTTGGGACAGACTCCTTTTCCTGATGTGATGGAACAGGTATTCCACGAAGTGGGTATTGGCAGTGTGCTCTCCCTCCAGAAGTTCTGGCAGCACCGCATCAAGGACTATCACAGTTACATGCTCCAGGTGAGGCGACCCTGTTGGAAAGTGGACATAGATGTCTGTACAATCTAGCAGTGTTCAGCAGGATCCCACAACACTTTGTCTAGAGTACAGAGCATAGTCATGGAACAGAGTGAACTTAACCTACTTTTATGATGGCCCTAGCTATGTTCCTGCCCAAATACCGTGGGCCTCCTTTAGTCAATGAACAGCCACATTCACTGATACTTCCTCTAGAAGAAACTGTAAGGTAGGCCAATATAAGAAAATGAAAATCCAATTTATTCAGCTCCCGGGCAAGGTTCTATGGTCCCAGGGAAAGGGGCCAGGGAAGTTGCGCCAACTTCCTAGGGCATAGGGTTTTTATGGGTAGAAGGAACGAGCAACAGCTCCAGGGGAGCGGGATTGAGACAGGGCAGGCCACTATTGGTTGGCGGGTTGTTGGGCGGGTTTTCCGGTAGGAGAGCCAGCCAGGAGCCTTGCATCACTGGAGCCTTCCAGGGGACCCATGCGGCAGAGCTAAGTGCCAAGTGCAGAGCCTGGTGCCGGGTGCAGAGGTAGGTGTGTCCAACCTTCCGGCAAGGCAACCAGCCTTACAGAAACTATACACAAATATATAGAATCTGAGAGAATGCAGTTAGTTTGATTTTATTCAACAAGTATTTATTGAGTGCCTGTTGTGAGTTGGGCATTGAGGGGTTCGGCAGTTAATAAGTTACCTGAGCTTACATTCTTGTTGAAGGGAGACAAATACAAGTAAGCAAATACTGATGAAAACAATTTCAGGAGCTGGGCATGATGGCACATGCCTGTAATCCCAGCTACTTGGGAAGCTGAAGTGGGAGGATTGCTCGAGGCCAGGAGTTCAAGACCAGCCTAGACAATAATAGTGAGACCCCCGTCTCTACTGAAAATTAAAAAAAAAAAAATTAGCTGGACATGGTGGCTCATGGCAGTAGTCTCAGCTACTTGGGAATCTGAAATGGGAAGATCACTTGAGACCAGGAAGTTGAGGCTGCTATGAACCATGATTGTGCCATTGCATTCCAACCTGTGCAAGAACCTGTCTCAAAAAAAAAAAAAAAGGGGGAGAGAACACAGACCTCCTACTGGTGTCTCAGCCTCTGAAGCAGCTAATATAATGGTTTGACTGGAATTATTATATATATATTGTATATCTAATATAGCTGCTTGGGAGGCTGAGGTGGGAAGATCATTTGAGGCCAGAAGTTTAAGGCCAGCCTGGGCAACAATAGCAAGACCCTGTCTCTAAGCATATACACACACAAAAATGCAGTTTTGGATAATGTTAAGTGCTATGAAAAAACCAGAGTAAAATGATAATGCCTGGAGGATGGATTGTGGGAGGTGATGATTTTGATTAGACCCAGAAATATCTAATCACTTCAACCCTGTGCTCATAAGTCATTTGTTCACTGTTTCCGTTTCTGCAAGTCTAAAATGTGATTAGGAATTAACACCCAAGGAAAAAAAAAAGTCTTTGCTAAGTGATCCAAATTTCCCACACCATTGATTATTCACCCCTAGGATACATTTGTCAATCTTTCTTTCTTTTTTTTTAGACAGGGTCACCTGGGCTGGAGCGGCTGGAGTGCAGTGGCACAGTCACAGCTTACTACAGCCTTTATCTGCTGGGTACAAGTGATCCTTCCACCTCAGCCTCCTGAGTAGCTGAGACCACAGGTGTGAACCACCATGCCCAGCTATTTTTTTGTTGTTGTTGTTAGAGATGGGATCTTACTAGATGTTGCCCAAGCTGGTCTCAGACTCCTAGGCTCAAGTGGTCCTTTCTCCTTGGCCTCCCAAAGTGCCAGGATGACAGGTGTATGACCATGCCCAGCCTACTACTGTTTTTTATAGCCAAAAATATAATCTTTTGTCCCACTTCTGTTTTATCTTTAACACATTTTTTTACCTTTCTGTAACTTTTAATTAATTTACATATCTCTATCACTCATAAATGCAAACTCAATACCTTAAACAAATCCCTTCCATTGGCAGTGAATGTTTACAAATTCTGTTATTCACAGTCTGTTGGCTTTCCCAGTGTCACAAGCTGACTATTCAACTTGCTTTTTAACATTTTCTTGGAAAATTGACTCTTGCTTTGCCAACAGATTAGTAAGCAACTCTCTGAAGAATATGAAAGGATTGTTAATCCTGAGAAGGCCACAGAGGACACTAAACCTGTGAAGATCAAGGAGGAACCTGTGAGCGACATCACCTTTCCTGTCAGTGAGGAACTGGAGGCTGACCTTACTTCTGGAGACCAGTCACTGCCCATGGGAGTGCTTGGGGCTCAGAGTGAACGCTTCCCATCCAACCTAGAGGTTGAAGCTTCACCACAGGCTTCAAGTAAGACAAACAAATGTACTCACTTTGATTCTGGGAGATCTGCCAGTTTCAGTACTTCTTTCTTTTTGGAATCAAGCTCAAGAGGTAGAAGAACAAAAGCAGCAATGGGCAGAATGAAAAATCCTAAAACAAATACAGTTTCACCTATCTGGGGATCCTAGCATTTTTCACTTTCTAATTAGTGAAGAGAGAACAAGCACAGCTTTACAGGCATTCTTTAAAATAATCCCTAGTTAAGATGTAGATGCAATATTGTGTTGTCCCGTTGAATACCAGGGCAGATTCAGGTGATCCAGCTGGTTTGGAAGATAACCCCTTCCTCCTTTAGTATTTTTTTTAGTATTCTGTATTGGTCCTTCTGGATGCTTATACTTAATTGAATGAGAGAGCTGCCAGATAGATGGAGGAGTGTTAATTGCTCAAGGATGTTCTGAGTTTGGCTTCCTTGCTACAGTACTCTAACAAATTAAAGATGAAAGACGTTGATATAGGGCTTCCCAATTAGACGTAGCTGTCTTCTTTTTCCAGACTCTGTGGAAACCCTCAGAACCAGGACAACTGACTGGTTACCTGTCAGTTAGGTTGCAAATTAGTCTGGGCATTCAGTTGTTTACAAATATAAGTTGTCATTTCATCAATGCACAAAGGACTTGAGTAGCAAATCCTCAAATGTGGTCTAAATGGAATTAGGTCATACTTTGAAAAGTGTTGGCAGAGAGTGTTTCACTATGGAAGAATAACCATAACAGAGCAGCATTGCTAGAATACATAGAGAGGTGGGAGGGCCAAAGAGAAACTGTTATGGACTTAGGGACCATGTCTCTTCAAAGGAGACTAGAGAACTGCTATTAGCATTATGTTGTGACCATTAACTTTTCATAATGTGTGAGAGAGATGACCAGAGACCCAAACAAAAGGCAGGAAAACAAGATGGCCACGTAAAAGAAGGAAGGACAGACGAGCTAAACAACTGAACAAGGCCTGTGGTTGTGCCTGTCTTTGGGCTGTGAGACAGGGGTTCTTTCTACCTGCCTAGTTTCATTTCCCTGACTTAGGGAAAATGGGGGTGGGTGACATAGAGCACGAAAAGTAGAAGAAATGGAAAAGAAGATAATCAGAGTTGATAATTTTTTGGTGATGGTTAACTTTTTGGAGCAGAGAATAACAACCATATTCTCCAGCCAAGTACAGAATCAGAATAAAAACTGAGCTCAAAGAATATTAGTTGGTCCTGAGTGATATATTTACTCTACTTTGTTCTACACTTGGCTTACCACAAGGTATATGTCTGTCTTTCCTCTCTTTCTAGGTGCAGAGGTAAACGCTTCTCCTCTTTGGAATCTGGCCCATGTGAAAATGGAACCTCAAGAGAGTGAAGAAGGCAATGTCTCTGGGCATGGTGTGCTGGGCAGCGATGTCTTCGAGGAGCCCATGTCAGGCATGAGTGAAGCTGGGATTCCTCAGAGCCCTGATGACTCAGATAGCAGCTATGGTTCCCACTCCACTGATAGCCTCATGGGGTCTTCCCCTGTTTTCAACCAGCGCTACAAGAAGAGGATGAGGAAAATATAAAAGGAAAAGAGGGAGATTTTTTGTCTAGACCTACTAGACCCAACAGAAAAGGTTTTTGTGTATCTGTTTTCATAAAAATTGATTTTGACTCCTGTTCTTAAACACAGGTGGTTTTTCCTAATTCCAGAGGAACTGGATGTCACCAAACAAGGCTGCATTTTACTTTTGCATCCAGTTTTTATAGTTTCCCACAACTAAGCCACCCTTCACAGATGAATGATGATGCTGGTATGGCAATCAGGAGACCAAAGCAGTGTCCCCCCACTGTTGTCTTAACTATGACTAGACACGTTACCTCTCTATAACCATTTCTCTCATACTGCTGAGAAGAATCATACTTCTTTGACCTACATTGTAGAGATGTGAGGATTTAAATGTTTGCTAACTTCAAAACTGCGCTTGAATAGACTCATAATATATGCTCATATCAGATGTCAGTTTTCATTTTATTCATTTTTGGCTCAAGTCATTGGGAATCCATTACTAATACCTAACAAGAAATGGCTAAAGACAACACACCTTATCTATTAGTCACCTTTTAAAAACTGCTTTTGCTGCTTCGGAACTGTCTTATTTATCGATCAGCGGTCTATGGTGACAGCCTTTCGGCTTATTTATTCAGACAGCCCTCTCCTATCTCATCACATATTTTCTTCTTTTCTAGACTTACTCCATCTATCCTCATCCTTTTTGCCTTTGTTACTTCTGCTCAGACTCACATACTTTCACCAGACATCTTTTCAGTTGTTTCTTTTTCCCCTTTGTGTAAAAAGCAAACAAGTACTGTCCAAGGACAGCCTTGTGCATATTTCATTTGTTGCATTTGCTTGGTCATCAGAGGACAGCAGTCCGTTAAGCACTTTGCTTCTGCTACTGTAAGGGCAGCCTTTAAAGCATAACAATATGTACCTTTCAACTTTACATCACATCCTGAACATTACTGTTGTTACTCATCCATCACTATATATAAGTACTGAATCAGTATTTATTAAGTAAATGATGTAGCACTGTAGTGATTATGAATTATTAGCAAATATGTTGCTTCATGCCTTGGTGGTGGATGCCATCATGTTAAACTGCTGAAGTTTGGTTTTCTTTTTTTTTTTTGAGATGGAATCTCGCTCTGTTGCCAGGCTGGAATGCAGTGGCGTGATCTCAGCTCACTGTAACCTCTGCCTCCGGGGCTCAAGGGATCCTCCTGCTTCAGCCTCCGGAGTAACTGGGATTACAGGCACATGCCACCAAGCCCAGCTAATTTTTGTATTTTTAGTAGAGACAGGGTTTCACCATGCTGGCCAGGATGGTCTCAATCTCCTGACCTGGTGATCCGCCCACCTCAGCCTCCCAAAGTGCTGGGATTACAGGAGTGAGCTGCCACACCCAGCCTGAAGTTCGGTTTTCTAATACAAACTACATCTTGTAAAATTTAGACCAATCCTTTAATATAGACCAAAATAAAGCATAGCTTTAGTTAGTTCATTACTGAATGCCTTAAATGTCCCAGGTATTGAGAATAAATGAATGTGATAGAAATAAAACAAGGTTATAGTTTAGCATATAATTTATACATTTGCTAATTGTAACTCCTTAACACATTTAGCTAAATGCTTTCTGTCGCACTTTTTTTTTTTGGAGATGGAGGCTTGCTCTGTCACCCAGGTTGTAGGGAGATCATACGATCGGGGCTCACTGCAACCTCCACCTCCCGGGTTTGAGCGATTCTCCTGCCTCAGCCTCCTGAGTAGCTAGGACTACAGGCATGTGCCACCACACCCAACTAATTTTTGTTTTTAGTAGAGATGGGCTTTTATCATGTTGGCCAGGCTGGTCTCGAACTGCTGACCTCAAATGATATGCCTGCCTTGGCCTCCCAAAATGCTGGGATTACAGGTGTGGACCATTACACATAGCCTCTGTTGCAGTCTTCATTTTCCTTTATTAATGAAAGTGGCCATTAGCCAGTTTCCATAAAGTAGCCATCTGAGAATGTATTTCATTCAGCAAACATTGCGTACCAATTATTTGCTAAGTCTCGTGCAAGGGATACAAAGATGATTAAGACTCAGCCCTTACCCTTTCGTAGCTTAAAGCATAGGGAAGACAAGTTACTAAGAAAGATAAAGCATTCAAAAGTACTACAGAGAAAAACCAAGTATGCTTGAGTTTTCCTTTGCGAATGCTCTCCTCTTAAAGAATAGTTTCGGCTGGGCGCGGTGGCTCAAGCCTGTAATCCCAGCACTTTGGGAGGCTGAGGCAGGTGGATCAAGGTTAAGAGATCGAGACCATCCTGGTCAACATGGTGAAATCTCGTCTCTACTAAAAATACAAAAAATTAGCTGGGCATGGTGGCGCGTGCCTGTAATCCCAGCTATTCAGGAGGCGGAGGCTGCAGTGAGCCGGGATGGCACCATTGCACTCCAGCCTGGGTAACAAGAGCGAAACTCCATCTCAAAAAAAAAAGAATAGTTTCAAATTTTGAGACCACTGGTTCCCACTAAGTATGGAACACTGAAATTAATACTTCATAATAAAACACTTTTATTGCTGCAGAATGTTTAATTGCAGAACAGGCACCAGATGGTCAAGACTAAAGTAATTTGAGAAGACAAATGATGTGAGGATTAGTATCTGAGAGTCACCTGGTCTTGAATTATGTCATAGGCTACTATGCACCAGAATTACGTGGAAGGCTTACTAGAACAGACTGCTAGGCGCTCCCTGCCCCCTGCTGCCTGTCCCCTGCCCCCCGCCCCACGCCAAGGGTTTCTGAGTTCACAGGTTTTAAGAGGTGAGTTGAACAATTCCCCAGGTGATGCTGATGCTCCTGGTCCATACTGTGAGAACCACTAAGTTGGAGTACTGACTCACAGAGATAGAATTCCCTGAAAGAAATGTACTGTTTGAAGATACTGTATCTTCAAAATGTGGAGGCAAGGCAAACCTTTATAATGGCTGTTATGTATGAAATGTGCCTCTAACCTAAATCCATGGCCTTTGTGTAAATCACCAAGGAGACTTTTCATTAAGTTCAGAGTACAATACAAACTGGGCCTCGCTCTGTATTTACTCAGTATGTGCACATGGGAAACTTTAGTAAAATATCACCTCCTTATTGAGAAAACTTTGGACATGTGGCCTTAAGCCTCTGTTGAACAGAAGTGAATCTATTCACAATTACATAATTTTCTAATTTGAAATCATGACAAGTAGTCTTACAACAAAGTTAAAATTAAACACTCTTTATCCAAGTAACCACTGAAATAGGATTCTGATTCATTAATCATGTCTTGCCCACTTTCAACAAACCTGGCGTCCTATAATGAGCTATACAGTGTGAGGCATATTTCATACCAACGTTGGTGGATTGCCAAGAATACTCTGCCGCTGTTCTGGACAAACTCATGTTTCCCTTTTCCCTGGCTACTAATAGGAGGGCAACTGATGGTGCAGGGTCAAGGGCACGAAGCTGGGGGGGAGGGTGGAGGAAGTAGAGGCTATATATCCAGCCTAAAAGAGATCTGAAGTGGTCACCAGGAGACTATGTTCTTTTGATTCCATTCCTCAGCAGCCAAAGTACTTGAGTTCAAATGATAAAACTTGAAGTTGTAGGGCTGGAAGAATATGAGCTTAGTGTATCCTTCCTTGCATAAATACAGGGGAAAGGCCAAGGAATAATCAGCATTAACCTGCCAGGTCCAAGGGTCTTCTCGCCCTGACTTCATCTGAGTCACAAGATTTCTCTAATAAGAGAAACTCTGCTACCCTGAAGAAAATTGTCCCTTATAGTAGCCCCCAGTCAGAGGTAAGGATAGTTCTTTCACACAGAGGTCCAAAATTCTGGACTTCTGGAAACAAGTGAAATGTCCTAGGGTGTCCTATTTGTGGTTTCTTTTCCAGTATTGTGCCATTGATTCTTGCATAAAATTCTGGAATGCTGGCTCTTCGTGGCTTTCCTCTGTAACTGCAAGGAAAAAAGGACAATTCCTTTTCAATTCTCTTTCATTAGACAAAACTGATTAGAGCCCCTATCACCCATCCATCAGAAAAAGTATGTTACTTCTAAAAAACTAAGTACTCACCTTTCTCAAAGAGGAAATGTCTCCTAGAAGCATGCTTTATCATGCTGCCCAAAATGTTTCTATGTATAAAGAATAACTCCCTCATAGTAGTTAAAATAAGGTCCCACTTATAGGTATTTTTAACCAAGAGAAATGAAAACATATGTCTACACAAAGATCTATTTGGAAATGTTTATAGTCATTTTACTCATAACAGCTAAAATCCACGCAAATATCAATCCACTGGGGAATGGATAAACAAACTGTGGTACATCCACAATAATGGACTATCAGCAATAAAAAAAGAACATATTACTGATACATGCAACAACATGGACAGACTATACTACTGAGTCCAAAAAGTCAAATGCAAAAGGCTAAATACTGTGATTCTATTTGTATGGCATTCTGGAAAAGGCAGTATCAGTCAGTGGTTGCCAGGCTCTGGGTATTTAGGACAAGGACTGAAAAACAAGGGGCATGAGGAAGTTTCAGGGGTCGGGTAAATGTTCTACATTTCAACTGTGATGGTAGTTACAAGAAAGTATGTGTTTGTTAAAGTTCGTCAAACTATGTACTCAAAAAGTTGAGTTTTACTGTTGGTAAATTACATCTTAAGAAATCTGATTAAATGGGGCAATTTACATATAAAACCCAGCCAAAGAACAAGGAGGTTTGCTTTTTTTTTCTCTCCCCTTGAGACGGAGTCTCACTCTGTCACCCAGGCTGGAAGTGCAGTGGTGTAATCTTGGCTCACTGCAACCTCCACCTCCTGGGTTCAAGCAGTTCTCTGCCTCAGCCTCCCAAGTAGCAGGGATTACAGGTGCTCGCCACCACGCCTGGCTAATTTTGTATTTTTAGTAGACATGGGGTTTCACCATTTTGGCCAGGCTGGTCTTGAACTCTTAACCTCATGATCCACCCACCTCAGCCTCCCAAAGTGCTGGGATTACCGGCATAAGCCACAATGCCTGGCCAAGGTTTGCTCTTGGTCATAGTTTAGACCTTAATCTTGTGGTTGTTTCTTTTTTTTGAGACCACGTTTCACTCTTGTTGCTCAAGCTGGAGTGCAATGGTGCACTCTCGGCTCACTGCAGCCTCCGCCTCCCAGGTTCAAGCAATTCTTCCACCTCAGTCTCCCACGTAACTGGCATTACAGGTGCCCACCACCAAGCCTGGCTAATTTTTTGTACTTTTAGTAGAGACAGGGTTTTGCCATATTGGCCAGGCTGATCTCGAACTCCTGGCATCAGGTGATCCACCCGACTCGGCCTCCCAAAGTGCTGGGATTACAGACATGAGCCACCGCACCCAGCCTGTGGTTGTTTTAAGAGTCAGATTCTAGCAGGGTGTGGTGGCTCACGCCTGTAATCC